ACACAAAGAAAAAAATTAAATCAGTGTAAAACAGAAAGCTAAAGAAGATTATGCTATGAAGCTAATACTTATTTAGGAGAGAGGTAAAATTAGTAATTAAAGGAAATAAAGGAAGGAGACAGAGAGGGGGATCAAAGAAACAAAGCGAGTTGAATGGATGAAAGGAGAAAGAACAGTGGAGGGTGGTGGTTTGAATCAGAGCGTCCCCCACAGGCTCCGAGTATTTGGACACTTTGTCCTCATTGGTGGTGACTTAGGAGGATTTAGGAGCTGTGGCCTTGCTAGAGGCAGCACCCCACTGGGGCAGATGTTAAGAGTCCTTAGGTCTTGCGGGATTTCCTGTCTCTCTGCCCTGGGCCTGACTGAAGATGTGGAGCGGAGACTCCTGCTCCAGCTGCCTTCTGCCTCCAGCCTCGCTCTCCACTGTGGGCTTTAATCCCCCTGGAACTGTAAACCAAGTAAACAGCAGCAGAAAAATAACTAATAAAGGAGAATGAGCAGAGGAAAGAGCAGATGATTAGAAAAGATATGAAGAGGAATAAAAATTAAGATCTTTTCCAATAATGAAAAAGGTACAAAAAGGAAAATACACAAAGAAGAACAAGATTCAAATGATCACATTTTATTTGAACTCTGAGAAAGTAAAACACTGCAACAGAGGTAAGAAGATGAAAGTGAACAGAACGTCAGTAAGGAAGGGTTGGAGCAGCTCCTTCCTGGATTCTTGAAATTGGCTATGTCAGTTCTGGGCACAGGGAGGGCGGGGCAGGTGAGCATGTGGACTCCTCCTTGTCCTGTGGCTTATGCTAGTGTTCAGTTTGTATTAGATACAATTCTCCAGTTCCTCCAGTACTGTCTCCATTTGCAGCTTCTCTTATTTCCATACCAGGGGCCTGTGTCGCCCACACTTAGTTTGCACTTTGTGGGCTGGGCAATTTCATTATCTCCAGGACCCCAACTCCCCAGATTGAACCAGCTGGAAGGCTGAGCAACAGAGGGTGTTTGAAATGTGTTGCTTGTTTATGAAGCAATCACAGTTTGGAAATTTAGAGGCAGAGAACATGTCTCTGTACTTCCAAGACCTCCTAAGTATTCATCATCCTGTTGGGAACAGAGCTATAGGTAGAGTAGACTGCTCTCCTTCATCCAGAGCTCTCAGGGGTGAGGGCAGGGAAGGGCAGTCAGGTGGTGTCAGAGGCCATTTCATCTGCTGACCTCAGGTTCAGGCTATCAAACTCCAAAATTATTCTCCAAAGATTAGATCTGTTCCCAGCCACTAAAACTCAGGCTCTCTTTCCAATTGCACTTCATTGCCTTGGAAGAACCTCATGATGCCTTCACTATTAGCTTCCCAACCTTGGCCCAGCTGCTCCCACACTTGCTTCCCACATGGGACCAGGGTAGATCAAATTTA